GGGCCAAAACTGCAATATTGCAGTTTGGCCCAGGGGGTGCAGGCTGCGGCTGCGCACCCCCCTGGTTTTTTTTTTTTTTTTTTTTTACTTTTTTTGCCGGGGCCAGGGGTGCCGACCCCCGGCCCCCGGGACCCCGAGGTCGGCACCCGGGACCCCCGCCGGGGCCCCGGGGCCGGGGCTCGACAACCCTGGCGAAGACCCAAGTGTTATACTTAGGCCACGTCTTAGACGGAGACGGCATCAAGCCCGAGGATAGTAAGATCGCATCGATCCGAGATTGGCCTACACCTCGTACGTTGACAGAGTTGCGGTCATTCTAAGGCCTAGCAAATTACTATAGGAAGTTCGTAAGGAACTTCTCCACTATCACTGCGCCCCTTCGCAAATTGGTGAGGAAAGAGACCATCTGGAGGTGGGACAAGGACTGTACGTCTGCCATGAAGAAGTTGAAGCAGGCACTGATAGAGTAACTAGTCCTTAAGGTGGCCGATCCGTCCTTACCCTTTGTCGTCACTACGAACGCTAGTCAGTACGGCATAGGTGCTGTGTTGCAGCAAGACGATGGCAGTGGTTATAGGCCCGTAGAGTTCATGTCTGCTAGGATGCCTTCAGAGAAGGTAGCAACATCTACCTACGAGAGGGAACTCTACGCAATCAGGCAAGCGCTAGAACACTGGAAGCATTACTTGCTTGGGAGGCACTTCAAAGTCTATTCTGACCATGAAACGTTAAGATGGCTAAAGACGCAGGCCAAGATGACACCTAAGCTTACTAGGTGGGCCGCAGAAATAGATTAGTACGATTTCGAGCTCAAGCCAATCAAGGGGAAATACAACGTAGTTGTGGGCGCTCTCAGTAGGAGAGCGGACTACTTTGGAGCGATAGTTCACTATCTGGATATAGGGAGAGACCTGCAGGAAAAGGTCAAGGAAGCGTATGCGCAGGACCCTATCTATAGTGACCTCCTCAAGCGAGTACAGGAGGCCCTAGAGACCAAGCCAGATTACCGCACTACGGGTGGATTGTTATTCGAGAAGACTAACGTAGTTGACCGCCTGTGCGTTCCCAATAGTGAAGAGATCCGTAGTCTAATCCTAGCAGAATGTCACAACACAGAGGGTCATTTTGGTTGGCAAAAGACTCTAGCCAACCTGATGCATGCGTACACCTGGCCAGGGATGAAGAATGACTGCATAGAATATGTTCGCAGTTGCAAAGTTTGCCAGAGGAATAAGACTACAACGCGTGCCCCGCTAGGTCTTCTCAGGAGATTCAGTATCCATTGACTTCATGGACGCTGGCGTCAACAGTAGGCATGGCAAGAGCCAAGTTATGGTGATTGTCGATAGGTTTAACAAGTATGCTATTTTTGTACCCTTGCCTTCAGAGGCATGAACGAAATTAGTGATTCGTAAGTTCTTTGATCACTGGGTCAGTGAGCACGGGGTCCGATTGTCTATAGTTAGTGATAGAGACACCCGGTTCACAAGTCAGAACTAGCAGGAGTTGATGAGAGTTTATGGTTCTAAATTGCTGATGTCGTCCGACCGTCATCCAGAGACTAACGGTCAGACTGAACAGATGAACAAGATCCTGCAGCAAGTTCTGAGAATGTATATTAGGCTAGATCAAGTTGACTGGGATGAGATGCTCCCCAAGGTAGCCAATGCTTACAACAATAGTGTGCATCTGTCTACGTGCCGCACTCCCAACGAACTGCATAAGTCCTTTAGGCTGCGCAGACCGTTTGAAGGACTTAACCGGGATCAGATTCACAGGCTACCGCCCGGTACCAGGGAGTTTGCTATTCAGCACGAGAAAGAACTAGCTATTGTTGTACAGAACCTCAGGAAGGCCCAACATAGGATGATAGAGCAAGCTAACAAACATCGTCACCCATCGCAGTTCCAAGTAGGCGACTTAGTCTGGGTCAAGGCTATAGAGTTCACCCCTAAAGAGAATATCTCGCAAAAGTTACTGCCCGCGTATAGAGGACCGTGGCCAGTTCTAGAAGTCAAGGGCGGAGAGGATGGTCCGTCTTATTCAGTAGAGCTCCCATTACACCTCCACACCTACCCAGTTTTCCATGTGTCAAAGTTGTTGCCGTGCACAGTAAGTGATCAGTTTCCATCTAGGCGTTCCATGATCCCTCCAGACATGGATGGGAGGTACGACGTTGAGGGCATTGTAGGTGAAGATGTGTTTAGAACAGGAGGTCGAGGTCGTCCTCAGAAACAGTATAAGGTCAGATTTGCATATCAGGAACTAGAAGATGACCGGTGGTTCACCAGAAGTGAACTTCTAGAGACAGCTCCAGACATAGTTAAGGCCTACGAAAGAGACAGGAAAGGTAAAAGGTCCTGCCTTGGACTGAAATCTTCTCGGGGGACCTCGAATTTAGGCCGGCGGGATTGAAACGGTATTCACGAGTTCGCAGTAGCTGATGCAGATCCCAGGGCTCAATCCCTAGTTCCCCACCTTACCTGTGTATAGTACCTGTGTCAACCCGTAGAGTTGAACCTGCGACCTGTGGGATCGCCAGTGATAGGTAGGACGTCGTAGGTTACAGGGTATAGGGGATTCGAACYKTAGACCTGTTGGGTAGGAGTCTAGAAAGTCTAGAGGTCGTAGTTGTAGACTTTCCGAAGGGTCAAAGTCGTAGCCGCTACTTACCTGAAAGGGCAGAGTCGTAGCTGCTACAGTACCGAAAGGCCAAGTAGATGTTTCTAGAAGTGGCCTTTCGGAAGTCAGCCCACCGTAGGTCGAGGCAAGTGGGCAAGTGGTGGAGGTCCACCGTGCAGAGTCAGCAGTCCCAGTCCAGCCAGTCCGGTCCAGTCAACCAAGTATCGTCTGGCACTGTGTATCCCGTGGGCCAGGGAAACAGGGCAGACCAACGAGTCACAGAAGTATAAATCAAGAGGCCGCGCACAGCCATTCAGGCATTCCTGCGGAAGCCATGCGGAAGCGCTGCCTCAGCGACTGCCTCAGCCATGCGGAGGTCTGCAGTTGGCCCGAAGTMGAAGTGGGCGAGAGTGATACAGGATAGCCATAGCGATAGGATAGAGGTAGCCAGTGCTGCCATAGCTGCAGCTTCGGACGAAGTGTGTGTGTTGTGTGAGTGTTCGGAGTGTCGTGTGTGGGATATCCAGGGTGGTCCAGTGTGTGTGAACAGTGTGTTGTTGGGCGTTGAGTCGCCATAGCCAGGGGAAGTGAACTCTTACCTGGAAGTCATATCTCTGAGTACTGTGTGGGCGCATGTCGCCAGTTTGCTGTGTTGCTGTTCACATGCATGAAAGGAGTGAATGAGACGAGTCTGATTGCACAATGACCACCGTCCCACTTTTTACTGTGGGAGGTACGAGTGTGAGTATGGCCGTTGACACTGGGAAGAGGCGAACTGTGCCTGGGCGGTGCTGCAGAAGGGGCTGTGGTGGAGGCCGCAGACCGTGCACAGCCGTGCACGCACGCAGAAGTGGTCCTCACCTCGGTCTTCAAAATTCCCGATGCCACTAAGGTGTGCACCCGGATCGGCTTCACCACGACTCGGGGCTACAGCGCCACTGGCGAACCATTCTTTCCTTGGACTTGGGTATAAGGGCGAAAGACTGATAGAGCCGCTGGCAGATGGTTCCCTCCGAAATTGTCTCAGAATAACAAGAACGGTAGAAGCACTCCGCTGCGCGTGCTGTGAGACCGTGCACTAAGTTGGGAGATTCAGACGGGGTAGGGGGAGATGATGCCAGAAGGAGAGTGAAGCAACAGAGTGAACCTGGATGCAAATCGGTGCCAGGTACTTTCGAAGAAAAAGAAAAAAAAAAACAAAGATGGCGGGGCAAGTGTGGGCGCTGAGGGAAGAAGAGTGTGGTTCGCTTGGTCCTCGATGGATTCGAGAGGGGAAAGATGCGGGATATAGGTTTTTTAGCAGGGCGAGTTCAATGGTGAAGTTAGTTTTAGAGTTAGAGTTGTGAAAGGGAAGTTAGGAAAGAAAAATAGTGCGCGGAGGTGACGGGATGCTAGATATGGCCGCTTTGGAAAAGGCAGATCTCGCCCGTTTCTTAACGAAAACAGGCGAGTGAAGACTTGAAATGGGGGCTTTCAGGTGATGCGCATCAGGAGGTAGGCTCGGATCCGTGAAAAGGTGGGCGGATTTGGCTGCACAGTTTGAGGAGCTGCGCTAGCAATGGAAGAAACGAGGAGCGGGGGTATGGCCAGGGAATGTGTCTTTCCATTTGGTGTGAGAGGTTTGAGTGTGAGCATGTCAGTGGGGATTGGAGAGATGGTGAGCCGTTGCGTGAAGAAGAGTGAGATTAGAGGAGGCGGCGCTGATGGAAGGCCGCAGCGACAGTAGCATGCAACCCGTGTTCGTTGAACCAGCTGGTATGAAGGCAGATGCACCTGGGCGCGTTTTCGCGCCAGATACGTCTGCAAGTAAGGAAGGGGAGCACCACGGAAAAGGAGTTCTGCAAAGGGAGAATGAATACCTCACCCGATTCTTGACGGAATCAGGCAAGGGAGGAGATAAGAATGAGAATGTATATTTTTGTGTTCTAGTGGAAGATTCATTTTCATATCATATAGTTGTGCTGCTAATGATCCCGGCCTTGCTCCATCGTTTGGTCTCGATAATGGCTAAGATGCCGCCCTTGCTCGTCGACGGGGTTGTGATTGCTCGTATGTGAGGTCATCATCTTCGTTGGCAAGTGGTGGAGGTTGCTGCCGATGGTTCTGCTCATAGGCCCCGCCTTGACCTTCATCCCATTTATGGTTGCCCCTACTTTGGGAAGTAGTCCGCATTTTCGACATATCGCGTTCATTTTCCTTGTAGTATGTGGCATTGTGTGCAATTGAAGATAAATGCACCTGGTCGAGACCTTGAGCCAGGAACATCAAGGACGTAACGGGCACACAGAGAGAGAGAGAGAGAGAGAGAGAGAGAGAGAGAGAGAGAGAGAGAGAGAGAGAGAGAGAGAGAGAGAGAGAGAGAGAGAGAGAG